CTCAGTTGAGTGTAATGCAACATATAAACGGCTGCATTTCTTCTGCGTAATGAATACTTAAAAAAAAAAAATAAATAAATTTATAAAACAAAAAGAGATATAAATATGTTTTCAGTAAGAGATAAAAAGAAAAGAAAAACAAAGAAAATACAGGTACTGCAAAAGTGGAAAAAATCAAGCGGAGTACGAAAGAGAAATACAACAAATAGATATTATAATAATAGATAAAAAAAAAAGAGAAAAAAGAAAACAGAGAGAAAGAGAGAGGGAGACAAAGGATATAATAAAAAGAGGAGAGACAAACAAAAAAAACACACAAGCAGAAACGGAGAAACAATAACAAATTCAAGTGAATTGAAAAAAACAGAAGATTATGATACTTTATATATTTTATTTATTTTTTCTTTTTTTTTTTCTTTTGCTGGTTTTTGTTATATCGCACTGATGAGATGCATATTATATTTTGGTTTTATTGAGTATTTATTTATTTATTTATTTATTTATTTTTTTATTTATTTCTCTTTTTTTTTTTATGTCTTTTCTTATACAAAGAAGAAGAAGATCGCGAGCATCACCATCGGCGAGTGTGTGTCTGGTGTATGTTGGTGTGAGAGGAGATGCAGGTGTGGTGTTTTATGCATATAAATATAAATAATTTTATTTAATTTATTTTAATTTATGTAATATTTTGTTTTTATTTTTATTATTTTATATTTAATTAATATTTAAAAAGAAAATAAACACTCGTATTGAGCATATGCAGCTCAGCATGAGGCCCCAGCTGCAGCCTCTCTCCCCACTGAGTTCGTGCACTGCAGCTGTTTTCTTTGTCTTCTTTTTTTTTTGTTTTGTGTTTACTTTTTTATAAATAAAATATAATTGTTTAGAATATTATAATCAACATTATTATTTCTTTTTATATTTGTGTTCTCTCTCTCTTTTCTTGTCTCCTCCTTCCGTATCGATACCATCCATCTCTGCTGCAGCAGCAGCTGCTGCTGCTGCTGCTGCTGCTGCTGCTGCTGCTGCTGCTGTTTTTGTTGCTTTGTATCGAAGCCATAAGAAATGCAGCACTTTCTATGAGCCTTCTTGACAAGGAGGAGATAGAAAAAAATAAAAATATATATAAACGGGATGCTGGCTGCTTGTATCTGTATCTGCTTCTATCACCGGACCCTGGTTGTGTGACGTCGCGCTCAGTCCTCGTTGCTGCTGCTGCTGCTGCTGCTGCTGCTGCTGCTGCTGTTGCTGCTGCTGCTTTCTGTTTTTTATGCTTCTCACCTCTGCCTGTCTCTGTATATATTCAGAGGGGCCTCAGTGAGCAGCAGAATGCAGGAGACGCAGACGCAGCCCGTGTGGCTGCAGCTGGAGGCAGTAGGTCCTCCCCCTTCTCTGGACCCCGATCCCGATCCCGATCCCGATCCCCGGCTAGATATACCCCACACTGCGCCTGTTGAGCAGCAGAGCGTTGTAGGC